CGGAGTGCTTTACGGGCCGAGATTCGCATGAATTTGGTCGCCTTATCACCCCTTGGTGTGCTCATGTTGGATTACATTGGTGAAGGAGCCTATATTGGGAAACTTTTTGCCTTGGAGGAGGTTCGGAGGGTGCGGAATGTAAGCTATATTAACCGCCTACTCAAAACCTTGGATCAGGCGGGCCATTTTCTCCTCAACTATGGTGACTCTTCTGAACCAGACTGGGAGCTGAAAATAGTGGATGGTCGCGTGGTTGCATTTCTGCCCATTCTTGAGGGCACCTTTGCGTATAGTGGCGAGGTGCATGGCCTTCTTCCGACCATTGGAGCAGCATTAAAGCACCGGACACGTTACAAGGAGTTACTGCGCCTTCACCAAGAGTTTCGTCCGAACTACACTCGTGTGGCCTCACCTGAGGGAGTTTTACTCGTACGTGGCCTTGCGATGCATCTTCGGACGCTATTTGGGCGTGTGGTGGATGAACTTCTTCCTAAGGGACTTAAATCGATGAGTTCACGTGTTATTGAACCCGACACAGGCCTCAAACAAAAATTACAGAAGCGTACCTTTGTCTTCTACGGTGAATCTTCAGTGGAGCTGACACATGTTCCAATTGAATTTTTTACCTTGGAGTCGTACCGCGAGCATGTACCCTTTTCGTTGCGGAAGACACTTTCACAGCGGTGTGGATGTAAAGCTGATGTCCTTTCCGTATTTAAAACGGCACCCAGGGGTAATGAATGCTGCTGCACATATATTTGTAAAGGTGGCCAATTCAGTGAGTTGACATCAGCGGACTGGGTCGTGGCGGACCCGAAGCCGCTGCCTTATGTTGGCTACGAAGATCCGGGGCGCCAACAAGAGATTGCACAACAAGCAGTTTACCAGGAATGTGAATACAGCATTCTTTCCGCCATAGCAGCTGGCGATATTACGAGCGATGGTGTTCTCATGACACGCTATTTTCCATCTCCGTCTTTAAAGTCATTGATTTTGTCCTGTTCCGTCGGAAAGAAGGTGCGTGCAATTTTTTTTTCAAAGGCCTCACGGCATCACGGGCAGTTTTTTAGCCAAGAGGACAGTGGCCTTCTTTGTGATTTGAATACGTTTGGGATTTTGGTTTTCTATGTGGACGAGGCGCATGGTGAAATTTACCAATTTATTCGGCGCCAGGACCGTGATTGTGGGGTTTTTGTCCCTGTGGAGAGACGGCAGGAATATCTGCTTGCCACTTTCTTTGGTGTTTACGGCTCCAACCTGATGGAAGGCGATTTTGAGGCTGAGCTCAGATTTCTTTTTAACGGTATTTTGCGTTTGAGACAGTACTGTAACCATCCTCTTTTGAATCCCGGCAAGACACTCGCCCTTGTCACTGGTGGAGGTCCTGGTGCCATGGAAGTGGGCAATCGGGTTGCCAAATCGCTTGGTATCTTGTCGTGTGGTCTGTTTGTTGACTTTGGCTCCCTTTCTCACAAACCTGGAGCCACGATCAATGAGCAGAGAAATAACCCGTATATTGAGGCCTTCATGACGTACCGTTCGAATAAGCTTGTGGAGCGTCAATCGGACTTTAATTTGGACTTCCCCATTTTTCTGACTGGAGGCATTGGGACTGACTTTGAGTACGCACTTGAAGAGGTCCGTCGGAAAGTTAGTTCCGTACCCCCGAATCCTGTCATTCTCTTTGGAACATTGGAACACTTCAAGAATAAAATCACGGGACGCTACCAGGAAAATCTGCGGAGTGGGACAATCAAAGGATCAGAGTGGATTTGCAGTATTCCGTGGCTTGTAACAACGGGAGCGGAGGCACTGGAAATTTATAAGCGATTCTTTAATGGCCAGCTTCCCGTTGGTCCAGGTCATCCACTCAATGATCTTGGTTTTGTTGTTGCTTCAGAATATTTGGCAAATCATCCCATGTAGACCAAAATATTGGTATATATATATATATATATATGGTTCGAGCCGTCATACATTGCCGATTTCTTTCTGATGTCTACTTTCCGTCTGACGAATCTTTCTTGCCGAATGGTGTTGAAGCACGATAATATTTCTTTAGCAACAACAACAACAAAAAAAAAAAAAAAAAAGGAAAGAAAAAAACGAGGAAAAAGAGGAGGATTTTTTAAATGTTTTTTTGTTGTTTTCTTCTTTGTTGACTCGGTAAATATACAGTCGTTTTACCAAAATCTGCGCTTCTATGTTGCCTTCCTATTTGTATACATGTGTCTGCCCTTCATGACTCTCTTGTTTCTTCCTTAATTTTGATAGGTTGAGGAAATAACCTGGACAAAGATGGGTGAATTGCATATTACTTTCTTCAGTCGGGATTGCGTAATGCTGATATTTCTTTTTTTTTTTTTTGTTTGCTTCTGGATCATGAGTGGGTTGCGATGGATCGTTTGTAAATGGGTAGATTTTTCTTTTGGCCATCGCACCCGCTCTCTTTTGGACCGGCCACGCTCTGGGTTCTCGGGCCATTGGGTGTGGGGCGCAATGGGGCCGCCCATTTGTAATGAGCACGTGGATGTAAAGTTTGACAATAATAAGTGTACGATGTATTTTTTTGTCCGTTTTTGAGGTACACGGACGGTTGGTAATATTGGCCAGATTTTTTGGGTTGTTTCTGCTCCAGTGGTTTTTTTTGCTTTTCCTGTTGATCGAGCGGCAGCCCTCGAGGAACGTATTAAGGCTCAAGCGCCTTTCAATCTCTCTTTTTATTTTTATTTTTATTTTTATTTTGGATTTGTGGCGTAGTGCATTGCTCTTCCTCTCCTATTAATTTAGTTTCGTGTTTTCCTTTTGGCGAAAATGAAACACTTTCGCGGATGGTTCGTTATGTGCCTTGTGTCTGCGCTCCTGTTTATTGTTGTGGATATACCAGCGGCGCAGCAAAGAAATTTGCGCAGCAGAAATATATTTGTGGCTATCATGACCCCTGTGGTGTGGATCATCTACCTCGCGGTGCTCTACATCTTCCTGTACAGGCCGCTGCGTCGTAGCACTGAGGTGTACCGAAAAGGGCATGCATGTGGCCGCGGCGCAAGCGACAAGGGTGTTTTTCACTGGTTCAAAGAGCAATATAAGCTGAACGTGACTCTCACGCGGTTGCAGGGTGATACGGAAAGGATGGAGACTCTCCCCGTGTGCTGGCAGCCACATTCCCCAGCGAGTGGCGGACCGCCGACGAATTTGCATTCTCTTTGCGTTGCGAGGACGCCTATAGTGGGCAACTCGGGCTTGTCTTCACCCAGCGGTAGTCTATGAGATGCTCTCAGCAGTGGTGTGGTTTGTAGTTGCAGCGGCATTAAAAAATTTTTTTTTCTTCTCGCATTCCTCGCCTCTGCAGGGAAAGAGGATATGTATTTATTTGTCGCCTCCCCCTTCTTTTTGTCATTTTTGCTTCAGTGCAAACGACCGCGCCTCTTCTTTGTGCTTTGTCTTCTGGCCGTTTGCCTCGTCTTGCTTTTTGGCGCTGACGAAAGAAGTGAAAAGGAAAAGAAAGAACATAAGCGAACAGGCAAACAAACAATTGGCCAATAAGAAAAAAAAAAAAAAAAAAAGAGAGGGAATGCGCCACAACGTAAATATTTTTTTTTTGAGTGTCACCGTGACATTATGGATGTGTGCGCTTCGTGCTCACGCTTTCGCCTTTGATTTGCCAGCCAATAAGCAACGGTGCTTTATAGAGGAGGTTCCAAGCAGTACTGAACTGCTCATCTCGTTTGCGGCGCTACCAGGGTATGCACAGTTTGTGGATGTTGTTGTGACAGGCCCTGTGGATCATGTATACTATAAGTCCACGGCACAGGATCGTGGCAACTTTCATGAATTTGTCGCCGAGGGTGGTGACTTCATGGTTTGCTTTTACTCTCGACTGGCGCAGGGTGTGAGGCAGACTGAGGGAATGAAGCGCAGCATTAGCGTGGATATTCGCGTTGGAAGCGAAAATAATGATTACTCGGAGTTGGCAACAAAAGAGAAACTCCGGCCCATTGAGGTGGAGCTACGCGTGCTGGAGGACGCGGTGCGCTCCATCCACTCTGAGTACCTGTACTACAAGGAGAAGGAGGCGGAGATGCGCAACGCAAATGAGGCAATGACGTTTAAGGTGACATGGTTCACTGCGTTCATCATCTTCATCTTTGTTGTTTTTTCTGTCTGGGAATTACGTCACCTGAAGTCATACTTCCGGAAGAAGCGTCTCATTGATTGAAACGCGTCGAAGAAAACATATGTGCGTTGTAAGAACAATGTGATGTGGAGTGCGTGGACAGGTGGAAAATAAGCATGCAGGCACTCTTTTTATTAAAGGCGGAAATAATCAGTTTTTTTTTTCTTTTCTTTACACCCCCTTTTTTTTTTGTCCGGAGTGCATTGAGACGCGGGGATTTCCAAGAATATGCAAAAATAAACAAAAAAAAGTTATGTTTTCTGCTGTTGCCGCTGGCGGTGATGAAGGTGCTTGCTGTTATTATTATTATTGATTTTTTCTTCTGCCTCTCTCTCTCTCTCTCTCTCTATGTTTGTGTATTGTTTGCCCCACGAGTTCACCCCTTTATTTTTCTCTCATGCGCCACTGCGCACGTCAATGATCCTCTCTTTCCATTTTTTTCTTTTCTTTCTTTTCTTTCTGGGCGAGGGGCGTAAAGTAAGATGGACCACACGGAGAAAAGCCATGGATGTCGTGACGACCGCAGCGGGACCAAGAAACGTTCTTTTTTTTTTTTTTGAAGCAAAAGAGAGAAGAGAGAAGTGAGAGAGGAAAAAACAACAACATAAAACAGCATGTACCTTTCTTTTCATTTGGATTCTGTCTTTTACATTTTGCTTTATTTTGGAATTTTATTTTTTGCATCTCTTTTTTGCAGTGTAACCAAAGCGCAGCCAGCGCGCAGTTTTTTTAAATTATAGACACACATTTTGTACTGACTCAGCGGCACGCCTCGGCGTTACACCGAGGTGTACTTCACATAGTTCTAAATATAGATATTGCTGAATAGGGTGTCGTTTTTGATTTTATTTGTTAGCAGAAGAACCATAAATGATGGCTGGCGTGCTTGGTCCAGAGGTCATTAAAGAACTTAAGGCGATTCATTGTGTTGCTAAGGCACTGGGAGCTGTGAAAACCTCTCCACATGCCTCTTTTAACCTTGATGACGGCACAATTGCGGTGTCACAGCAGTCTGGTGAGGATACCGCGGCCGTTTTAGGTGACATTGGGAAGAAGTTGGCCGCTGCCGCCGAGAGGCTGGCCGATGCCATTGAGGCGCAAATGGGTGAGTTTTTTAACCATATGAGAGAGAAGGAGGCCTCGTCTGTCGTGGGGCTTCTTCGAACACGCAGCGTGGTGCCAGATGTCTTTAAAGTGATGGGTAAAAATGAAGTGCGGGCGTGTGACACCAATGCCGCGTCTCGCAGCTGTGAGATTCCTGAAATTAATGGCGGCATACAAAAAAATATTAACTCTTTAACTAGTCACCAATCTGATTTGCGTGGAGCGACGACATTGTTGCAAACGTGTTTGTTTCTGATGATGGAATCGGTACTTACAAGAGTGAATGCTGTCCGCGCTGCAGTTTACATTGGCGACGTCTCCGAAAATCCCCACGTGCTGTGCCGTGTGGCACACATCCATGCAGACGATAAGTTGCCTCTTGAGGTCAGCTATGCCAGCTCCAGTACACTTATTACCGCTGTGCAAGGTGGCATGGCTGTCAACTTTAACAACACCAAAATGTACCCCAAAAAAGACGACAGAGAAGTCAATGGGCACTCGCGTCCTTTTGAAGCATATTTGCGTTGCCATTTGCGTGTTCAAAGCGGTATAGTTGTGCCTATTGGTAACTACGGTTGTGTGTTGGTGGCTGAAAAACCGGCCGGGATGCCGCAGGGTTTTACATCCTTTGACGAGCACCACGTCTGGGCCCTTGCCATTCTTTGCGAGGGTCTCATTCCGCGGTACCCGCGAGACATTTTTGTTAAGATGTCATGGAGCCCAGCGGTAAGGACACTGCGCCATTGCTCCCGCCTGCCATCTATCCTCAAGCCACTTGCTCGAGCCTCCACACTACCAAGGACAGGTTTGACTGTCACGTCTGCGCCTTCCTTAGACACGCTGCCCTCCGTGCCAAGGAAGCTAACAATACTTCGAGCCTCAGGAAACAGCCTGAGTATCATTGGGGATCCCAAAGGAATTCCACGGAAAGACATGACAATTGAGGGAATCTTTCGAGAGGCAGCTGAGTATGTTAGAAACATTGAGGACTTGTGGCAAAAAGCGGTTCATGAGGCCAACCAATTACAACAAGTAGTGGAAGAACATGTCCGCAATCTGGAAGAAAAGACACATCAAATCACCTTGCTGGAGGAGGAGTTGCGCCGCCTAAAAAGGCATGCCTTTAGCCCTTGAAGATAAATGCGTCATTGGGGTTGCGGAAATGTAAATTTAGGTTGCTTTTTTTTTTGTATTTGCATTTAATGTTTTTGCATCCCTCAAGCTGATTGCGCTTCATCCAAGTTATTTTTGCTTTGCTCTCTCCTTGCACAGTCCCCCCCCCCCCCCCCCCTTCTATTACCTTTTTTTTTTTAATGGTTATTATTACCTGTTCCTTGATGTTATCCCTCATAATATTTTTTTTTCTTTATGCTTTTCCAGGGATTTTCATAACAGCATGCCATTCGTTAAGGTTGTGAAGAACAAGGCGTACTTCAAGCGCTTCCAGGTGAAGTACCGCCGCCGCCGCGAGGGCAAGACGGACTACCAGGCGCGGCGCCAGATGGTGCTGCAGGACAAGACCAAGTTTGGAACGCCCAAGTACCGCCTGGTGGTGCGCATCACGAACCGCGACATCATTGCGCAGGTTGTGCAGGCGAAGGTTGTGGGTGATGAGGTTGTGATGGCGGCATACTCGCACGAGCTCCCGCAGTTTGGAATCCAGCACGGCCTGACGAATTACGCGGCGGCGTACGCGACAGGTCTGCTGGTTGCGCGGCGCATGCTGACGAAGCTTGGCCTCGCGAACAAGTTCGAGGGCACGAAGGAGGCGGACGGCTCTTACTCGGCCGTGCGTACGAAGGCCGACGACCAGGGCGACGACGAGAAGCGCTTCCCATTCAAGGCCATTCTTGACGTTGGACTCGCCCGCACGACGACCGGTGCTCGTGTGTTTGGTGTCATGAAGGGTGCGGTGGACGGCGGCCTGGCTGTGCCTCACCGCCCGAACCGCTTCCCCGGCTACGACAAGGAGAAGGACTCGCTCAACGCCAAGGCCCACCGCGACCGCATCTTGGGCCTGCATGTTGCTGAATACCTGAAGCAGGTGCGTGAGGAGGCGAGCTCCAACCCCGAGGAGAGCACGTGCCAGTTTTCAAAGTACATCAAGGACAAGGTTGTTCCCAACGAGCTCGAGGGCATGTACAAGAAGGCGCACGCTGCTATCCGCGCGGATCCAATGAAGCGTCGCGCAAGGAAGGAGCGGAAGGAGGGAGCTGCGGTGAAGAAGTACAACACGCCGAAGCGGACTGGCGCCCAGAAGAAGGCCGCCGCCAAGGAGAAAATCGCATTTTTGGTTGCGAGCATCCGCGAACGTGCGTCGAAGTAGAAACTTCTGCTGTTACTGACTGAATCCAACAGATTTTTTTTGTTTTTGTTTTTGTTTGACTATTACTTTTATATGCTTCTCCTTTCCTCCATTTTTTTTAGGGGGCGAGGAGTGCAGGATTAGCTCGCGGAACGGACATCGTGGGTGCGTGCTGGCGAAGAAATTGCTCTCATTATTCTTTCCTTTTTGTGTTTGTGCTTCATGTTTTACACGCTTTCTTTCTTTTTTTTTTTTTGTCTTATTTCTTATTTTCCTTTTGCCGTCAGCTCCCCACCAAGAAAAGAATGCCATTCGTTAAGGTTGTGAAGAACAAGGCGTACTTCAAGCGCTTCCAGGTGAAGTACCGCCGCCGCCGCGAGGGCAAGACGGACTACCAGGCGCGGCGCCAGATGGTGCTGCAGGACAAGACCAAGTTTGGAACGCCCAAGTACCGCCTGGTGGTGCGCATCACGAACCGCGACATCATTGCGCAGGTTGTGCAGGCGAAGGTTGTGGGTGATGAGGTTGTGATGGCGGCATACTCGCACGAGCTCCCGCAGTTTGGAATCCAGCACGGCCTGACGAATTACGCGGCGGCGTACGCGACAGGTCTGCTGGTTGCGCGGCGCATGCTGACGAAGCTTGGCCTCGCGAACAAGTTCGAGGGCACGAAGGAGGCGGACGGCTCTTACTCGGCCGTGCGTACGAAGGCCGACGACCAGGGCGACGACGAGAAGCGCTTCCCATTCAAGGCCATTCTTGACGTTGGACTCGCCCGCACGACGACCGGTGCTCGTGTGTTTGGTGTCATGAAGGGTGCGGTGGACGGCGGCCTGGCTGTGCCTCACCGCCCGAACCGCTTCCCCGGCTACGACAAGGAGAAGGACTCGCTCAACGCCAAGGCCCACCGCGACCGCATCTTGGGCCTGCATGTTGCTGAATACCTGAAGCAGGTGCGTGAGGAGGCGAGCTCCAACCCCGAGGAGAGCACGTGCCAGTTTTCAAAGTACATCAAGCCCAAGGTTGTTCCCAACGAGCTCGAGGGCATGTACAAGAAGGCGCACGCTGCTATCCGCCGGATCCAATGACGTCGTCGCGCAAGGAAGGAGCGGAA